GAATCCAAAGCAGGACTCGATTTGGATTTTTTAAACATGTTTGAACTTGGCTTTCTATCTTTTCCATAATTCCAAATCATCTCCAAGTATGTTCATATCATCATTATGCTCTTTGACATCCTCCTTCAAAATCCTGACAGTCTTTTCAGTGGACATTTGTTTGATTTTCTCGAATATGAAAGTGGCCTGTGGTGGCAATTCATCAAAGGACTCCAAAGCGTCGAAATGCAACCTGCGTAAAACAAAATCTTTCTGAGCATTTGTTAATGTTGTGCCAACTTCACCTAATGATAAAGGATTCGAAGTAATTGCTTGTATGTCAACCTCATGGTCCTCTAATTGTGCATGGCTTGTGACACTGGCAATTTGATGAGTGTCCGTGCCTTTGTTGGACATGGTCGATACGAGGGAAACTTGATTCAGATTGCAGTGGTTAAAACCATTTGGAAATTTTAGAAATGGATGGTAATTATGCTTGCAATTTATATACTTGTTCAGATTCTGCCACTTTTATTACAAGTCATGATCTTTTCATCAATATTTGCAGCCATACCATGTCAAACCCATCAATTTAAGCAGGGCGCCTACTTTCACTCACGGCATTTTTAGTTTATCTCTTGGAGAAGCAGTATTTTTCCATTGTTCAAGTATGCCGGAATGGCTACATAGAGTACAGGTTATTGAGAAAGATATAAAGTGTGGCTTTTATTTATTGTTTTATTGCGTAGTTGCCCCGTCAGAACGTTACATTGGGTAGGGCTAGTAGGTCCAATATGTTAGGAAGTGGAATGGTGATTCTGAATCACCATTCCAAACGCGCAAGTGTTTTAGAACCGAATTCCCAAACCTGAAACATGACTAAAACATGTTTCAGGTTCTAAACTTTATCAGAGTCTTGAAGTATAAAGGTGGTACCTTTCCTCTCATTTTTATAGCTTCTATTTTCATTATGAATCAAGTACATTTACTTCAAATTACAATATTAATAACTTAATATTCTGACACTAACTATCTTGGTATCTAATCTACTAGGTTGTATATTCTAAGGAGGTCAAAAATTAACAAAGAAAGCTTCAGATCACACTCGAGAAGAAATCAACATCTAGTGTTTCCCAATCAATAACTACCAAATCCTCTATTTGGAAACTATTGAGAGAATCAGTTACAAGTACAGTTAGAGTATTTCTCCTTCAAGGTCGCGTTCGCAATTAGTGCGAAGTTATTTCACTATACGACAGAATCTAAAGACGCAGTATGGTTCAAGTATCGACAAAGAATGAGCACAGCTGTATCAAAGAAAATAATTGTTTAGTTTAAAATACAAAAAAAATAGGTAAAATAGAATAAGTAGTTGTCGATCAGACACATTGAGTAGCATAGCTTTGAGACATGACTGTGGAAGTAATTTCATCCCGATTGTAGAATACGCATTATCACATTGCTCGTCCACATATAAATGCACCTGCTGCCACAAGTGCACATCCTGCTCCTAGCAACCAGGGATCTACTCTTTTATTGAGTTGTTCATTCTCAACACCGTCTAAATCTAAGCCGGTAGCATCTTTGTATGCAATCTTTGCTAATGCTGCTATCTTTTCTTCATCGTTACCTGACACTTCATAGTTCTCTTCATCATAAACATTAAACCAATCTAACCAATTCTTATCATGAGGTTGCACAATCAACACTTTATTTTCTTGGTTTTCAAGATCATGCCCTGTCACGTTGTAGTGGTTTAACACTTCTTGGCTGCATGCTCTAATGATACAGGCTACTCCAGCAATTATGCAACATGCACCAACAACGACTGCACCCCCATCAAGACGTGCCTGCAATTCGATCTCGTTAGCTGGCTTGTCGACATAATCTGCAACCAATAAGCCCGCTGCGACTGAAAAAAGTGTCAACATGAAAATAATCACTGCGGATTTTAAATTGTCTTGCATCCGATCATGATTGTTAAGTTGTTTTCAGATCAATTTTGTTGCCACAAAGAAGCTCTAGTCTGTAATAATTTTACCTCTCACAATAACTTGTCTTTCAACACGATTTTGACTTGTATTTATATCACCCCCACTCAATTGTATATATTCGTGAGTCGTATCTTTTTTCTATGTCAGATTTCTAACATTGCTCTCTCCCTGGCACCTGTTATGTCAAACAATGACAGATTTTCTGAGCGAAAATCAAGCGCAATACAGCGCAACCAAACGGGATCAAGCGCAATGCAGCTCAATCAAACGGAATCAAGCGGAATCAAGCGGAATCAAGCGCAAAACTTACCTCATTGGTAATCATACCGTCATATTATACCACAAAACCTGTTTATCTCGGTCCAATGAAATCAGAAAACGACGCATATTCCGAGGCCAAACGGCACCACTGGAAAGAAGAATATGAACAAGTCTTTATCCTTTCAAGTAATTTACATAATGTTCTCGTGCTAGGTTTTGACTTTTTTGCACGTAAAAAAAAAGAATCAAAGAAACCGTAATTTTGCTCAAAATTCACGCAAATATACAACTTAGACAAAGACATATACTATAAAAATCAATTTGACTCTAAGCGTGGGGCGCTGGAACTATCCAAGCTCATCTCCGACGCATTTTGGCCAGCTTCTTCTAATGTTCTACTTATAGTGTTACTTCCTCCCACGACAAGACTTTGTAAGCCCTCTCTCATGTCAGTAATGTCCTCAGATCGCAAACAAGCACCATCAACGCGTATAAGAGTGTGCCCTAGACATTTATGAGTCTCTTGCACAGGAAATCCATGGTCTTAAGTTCTCATTTCCAATTGTTTGTTCCTATCAACAATTGTAGCAACCAATTTTCTCACAACATATTGAAACCCTTTTTTTGAACCACCAAATTTTGACAGAATATCCCACGCATCCAGGTTTTTTTTTCGGGAGGGGTATAGATTGGATACCTGTTGAGCTGTTCCTCATCCTGATTTTGTTTTTTATTCGGTCTTGGGTGATTTCTGAGGCATTCTTGTCGAGCACCACCAGTGGGTTGAACGGGGCTAAACCTGCCGACTCCCAGGATCCTTTCAGAACTCTACTTGTGTAGGCCTCATTCCTGACATATCTGAAGGAGAGAATAAACTCTGCTCTTGCCACAAGGTTCAAACCTGTGTTTTGGAGGAAATTTGTAAGTTTTTCTCTGTATTTATTTTTGAGACACGCAAATAATTCTTGATCGCAAGGCTGACACGAATGGGAGCTATGAAAATTGAGGAAAATGGTCTCTATGTTGGCCACCCGAACCTGGAGTTCATTCGCTGTAACAAAGCCCCAATAGTCGGACTTCACTCCTAGTTTAATCATGGACTCATCCATGTTGTATATGCGTGCGCTTCCCATGCCTAACTCGTCTACTTTTGCCTTGAATCTATCGAACCAACCAGACAACTTGTCGTGGTCTTCAACGCCAACTCTTTTATCACTAATACCCTTGACTCTCCGCTTTTGAATGTCGGGGCGGAGAACTAGGAATAATCTTGCCCACTCGACGCCAATGACGCGTGTTGAGTCCTCTCCACCCTTTGTTTTGCAAGAGAACATTAGTCTTCACAACTAACCTGGTCTGTGTGAAAGCGTAACCTACTCTGGCCATCCTCAAAAGGTGCTTGGCAATTCCCCGTTCCTCTGAATGTGTAAAAGCCTGCATAGGTTCGTATTTAGAACATAATCTCACCCTCTACCCATACGATACACAAGATGAGGTTCGGATGCAAGACAATAGTGAGGTTCGGATGCAAGACAATAGTGAGGTTCGGATGC